GTAGTGTACAGCATCGATTTCTGTGGAACCCAGTAGCTGTCAAAACTTTCACATTTTTACGAATAACTCGGAAATCGTAAATTTTTCAGGTAAAACATTTGACACAAACTTAACTTAAATTTTGACGACAAATCTGAAAATGAATGAAAAAAGGGGCGGTTCCATTTAAAAAACCAAAGTTGGTAACTACCACACGTTTATGATACACCCCGTATATTGGAAAGTAATTTTAAAATGTGGACCTTTTAAACATGAAAAACTTTCGTAGGACGTATTTTCTTGTAAAGTTCATATTTACTGAGATATCGCACTTTGACGCACTAATGAGCAACCCTGTATATTAATAATCGTTCTTACCTGCTTTCTGAAAACTGGCGCCCCATTCTCCATTGTCAATCCATTAATCGTCAAAAAGCACACACTACACTTGAACACACAATTAATATCTAGACGAAGTTAGTAAATAAATAAATGTGAACTACACTCAGCAATTAACAGGTAATATGATCGACCGTACTTGCCTAAATGGCACCACTGGGTACTTTCATCCCGTTTATGAACAAAGAATGGACGACCGATTTCTTCCGTCTCCCATAATAGACTGAACGAAATGTTCAGCTTTCCGAAAAAACTTATGCAATATTAAGGTGTTTATCACATTAAAAATACACCGAGCTACAGAACTGGCCCTTCGAATAACTCATTGCTTGCTCATCCAACCGGTTTGTACATTTATCGTAAACAAAGTTGCTTTCTCGGCCAAAGATAAACAAACATTGCCATTCATGCGGCGACATTTGTATGCTAAATTAAATAATCGCTCTCCGATCAATCGTTTGCTAATTGTCATGAAACGTAAAAACTTTTTAGCTTGATCTATTGTGAAAGGCTGCACAATTTTTAGCTGATCCACCAAAATCAAAGTAAAGCATTCACTAACAATGAGCCAAAAACTAACAGCATTTTTGAAAACTCGCAGTAACTTCGGATTATTCCTCTTTCGTCCTTTGCATTTCCGGTGGATCTATTTTTTTTCAAGTTAACCCTTTAGAGTTTGCAACGCTTTAACCTTTGTGGTAATACCCTCATTAACCCGCTTTAATGTGGATACCTGTTTGACTCGTTTATTTTCTCCAAAAAAATAGCTTCGCCATTCACAAATGCTCATCCAGGTAGCGTTAACCAAAATTAATGCCTCTTCGGTGGTCGTGGAATAACCTCACGTTGTGGAAGGAGAAGAACTTTACTTTAGCTTCATCAAAATGTGTATAACTATTTAAAATATGTTTTTATAGCTTGTTGTAAAGCTTTGCAAATACAGAGTGATGAAAGCAAAGGGAATTGATTTGTTTCTTGGCGTTATTTTGAAATTATGGACATAGAAATTTGCGATCGGATCATTTAAGCGTTGTTACCGAGCGCGTGAAACCAGGACATTATCATCTTAAATTAGAATACTTTATTAGAATTAGAAACCCTTTAAACTAATTTTAAATTGGGTTCTTTTCACTAAGCTTTTGCCTACGGTCTTCCCCGCTATTTCCGCGTAAACCATAAAAGCTTTTGTGAAAATCTCGCTAGATGTGTGTAGCTTCACAACTGAGGTAATAAAAGTGGCACTGAGTCAGATTCTGTAAATTCTGACAACAGTCTGATCCATTGTGCGAAGTGGACTCAGGACTCAAGGGTTTGAAATGCAGGTATATATTTTGTAAACTGTAAAAGTCCGAACGAAAAAATTGGAATAAACTTTGTAGTTTCAATATCCTGTATCTTGAAAACGCTGTCTTTTTGAGCACATGTTTCTATCTGTAAAAGGTTGTCATTATTTTTAGGCATAATCCGGACGAAAGAACCATGTTATCAATTTCAATTTCCACTTGTCAATAATTTTTTATCATAGGTCCCATATTTTCACAACTTATTTAGAAACTGCAAGAATGAAAATAATCCCTGTTGCTAAGAAACGAAACAGAATTGAACCTACATTGAAAAGAAAAAAAATATCTTTTACCATCTAAACCTCTCTGAACTATGATGAATTATTTTTAAACACCCTGTATAATTGTAAACCAGTTATTTGCAAGCACGTCATGACAACGCATTTTTATTTGTGAGGTGCAGCGAGGATTAGTCCCGAATTTTCGCTTTACCTATTATACATAGTAAGCACTTCGAATAGCTCTCAATTTTCTTGAAACGATAATGCCACTGCACAAAGCTATCTCTGCTTAAATAATGACGTGAAATGAACAGAAAATGTTAGCTGGGACAAAATTCTATCGTACTGGATCATTTTTTTTTGTTCTTAATCTCTTGTTTCAACTGTTATCATCTCAATTTATCATAGTTACAATTGATCATTTTTACGTCTCGCATTTAATAATTATACAAGTAAATATTTAAATGACTATTTGATTATAATTCACCTCTGCTTCCTTACTTAGCTCAACCAAAGTAGAGGAGAAAAAACATATATTTTCGGAGCTCATTTGTTTATTTCGAATCAATTAAACCATCAATTATAGTCTGCTTTAATATGCTTTCAAAACACGATCATTTATTAATTAAAGTAGTGGTTTACAAACTTAAGAACATTTCCTAATACTAAAAAAACTTTTAAAGATACAGAATGTTATTATTAAAGCTGGAAGAACGACGTATGGATTAAAAAGGATCTCGCCAAATTTTTATCACGAGTTACACGTTAAAATTTATAAATAAATATTTTTTTCAATATATCTCATAGTATATGACGTGATTTCACTTTTTCTTTGAAAAATGTGTTAACCTCCTCTCACCAGTGAGATCCATTTTAAACTAGAACGAAGGAAATATAAATATATATTTATTATCGTAAGAACTGGTACATTACTGAAAGTGTTATAATTAAGATGAACAATTATAATTTGATAATTATTTAATGTTATAGTTCTCAATAGGACGAAAACACAAGTTTAAAGTAATTTCAACGGGAAAGTACAATTGCATATTACGCATATGAGAAGCTACAAATGTAATTCGCCTGGGAAAAAATTAAGAATTATTTTTTTCAATATTGCAGAGTCTACGCATAGGTTTACATTCCAAATCTTCTCCCGAACCTGAGGAAGACGTGGTCAACATCCTGCCTCTTGGCGTTTAGATTGGTGTTTCGTTCGTCCACAAGTCTGGCAGTATCTGAAAACAACCAGAAATTGTTTTTATCACAATAAACATTCTTGACAAAAGCCGATATCCATTATCATCGGCACAACAAGAATTAACGTTCGTTGCTCCATAATTAGTCAAAATTTGATCTATTACGAACATTATTTGTGTGATTTGATAGGATTAGCGGTTATTTGATTACTTTACTCCAAGGCGTGGGGATTCCGTCTGAAAATCAATTTTTACGAACCGGAAAACTACCTCATCATAAAACATCCATCAAGTACTTTCTCATGATTTCAAGAAACGCTATTAAAATACAATTAAAAGTTATTACGTGAATCAACATTAAACTTTTGATAAACCTTTCATTTAATTATAGAACTCTTCTTCAAACAAAGCCAACAAAATTATTATGTCAATGTTTTTATTCAGAGAGTAAATGGAGCGTACGTTCACATTTTCATTGCAATTGAGTTTTACCAAAACGCTAAATTGATTGTTACATCCACATAGTTTTATATTTTAGTATCTGAAAATTCTTTGGACTGTGATATTCATCAGGAATTCGATCGTTAAATTATCTTTTATATGGCACATTGAAATGTTTTCTATTGTATCACATTGGAAATTCGAGATGGAATTGATTATTCTTCTTTAACATTCGTTTTTCTGCTTCACATGGCGGCTGGGAATTTATTAAACATCGCATTTTATACCGAACTTGGTAACCGATAAATTTAGTTGCAAATAAACAATCATCCAAGGAAATTGTGGCTCAATTTTTTTTCTATATACAGTGATTAAATCTTTTTCCACAATAAAGGTGTTAAAACACCTTTGAAAATGTGTCAAAACCGAGCGCTTCTAACATTCTAAGATAATTTTGTGTGTTTGAACACTTTTAAAATACCGATTTGTTTACAAACGAAAAATTACATTATTATAAGTTTTTCTTCGGGAACTGAAAATGACTTTAAGAAATATCTTATCAGATATTTATTGGATGCCTCTTGGTATTCTTGTATTGTTCCGCAATAAGTTATGAAAATATTGTTTACTTTTGCACTCAAGCCAAAGGTAGTTTTTGGAGCCTTTTAGAGGAGTAAGCAAATTTACATATATTTTCGTAATACGTTGTGAACCTTTTTTGACTCGGGGACATACCAAATAGTCTTAAAATAGCCCAGGGGGGCCAAAATACTGTAATTGACAAAAGATACAGCCTGTCGTGCCTTTGGCACGCGTGTTGTAATAATTTTTGTAATTGGTCCGAAAAACGGAAAAGCATACCAGGCAAATATGAACAGTTTTGGAAACGTATGGAAAAATGAGGAACTGAAGAGTTAGGCTTTTGCGGATATGTGAAATAATTATTTTCGGACGTTTCGCAAGCACGAGTCGGTTGCATTTTCAGGGGTGTTTTCGCTTGAAAGCTTTCACATCAGTTCAGTGCAAACTTTTAACCGAAAACACCTCTGAAGATGTAAAACACACGTGCTTCCCAAACGTCAGGCATAATATTTTTCACGACGGCCTACAAGTTCGAAAAACTCACCAGTTTTAAAATGAGAAACTGTAAAAACAGGCATATTATTAAATCAGATAATTTCTCCAACTGCTAAAATATGTCCATTACTCATAATAAGTGAATTTTTAAAATTAATATTTCTGGTTGTCCAAATCTTTAGGATCAAAACTAAATAACTTTGTTCTAACATTCTTCATCAATTCTAAATACCATTATATTTTACATTATATTTTTACATCCACATGAGAAATTAACTTTTCACTGAAAATGATGGACAATTTTTAATAATATCTTATAAAGAACAAGCGCTCATCAAACTCAGCATAGATCAAGTCAAGTTGTCGCTAAAAACATATTCTATTGTACATATCGTTTCTTTTTTACATTTAACTGTTTGAAGCGTCCGAAAAGTTATCAGAAAATGTATCTATTTGTAAGCGTTTTCCATTTTGTGTTTGATACAGTTATAATTAATATACAGGTAGTTCAATTACACATGGGGAAGTTTTGAATTTGAATCAGAAGCAATGTTACTGACATAGAAAAGTTTCGTAATTTTAAATTACTTGCTAAATATTTTGTAATTTATTTAAAAAAGGGTTCGCATTTGTCCTGTTCTACTATACGTTCTAATATGTATAATTATACGGAATAGATATAGAGGTCTGGTATAGTATGTATGTATAATTTAGTTTCTTGTAAAAAATTTCTTCGTAAAATATATTTTCTATTATTTTTTTAAAACTTTGCAGTGCTTAAACTGATCCCATTCTGCAAGTAGTGAACGGCATGCAGTTTATGGTTGAATTCGCATCTCTGCTGCTACGAGTATAAAATATTCCAAAAACAAATGTTTGCATTCGTTTTTATACATATTTCATTTGAGCGCAACAACAAAATAAACTGCACCTCTGGATTCAGTTTCAATCAATTGTCGTGAGTGCCAAAAAGCTAAAAGTACTAATAAAATACTTTGTATTTCCGAGACAAACTCACTCCAACCTACTGTTTTAGGGCGATTTCCATGTAAATTAAAGACAAAAAAAACTGATTGTTTGCTAAGGAAATTTCACTTTTAGAACATGACATTATGCAATATATATATGCAATACGGCGTAGAATGCTATATACGGAGGTTTTTTTCTGAAATAATGCAGGTATAAATTATATTATTTATTACTAGATATTAGTCCAGATAATCAAAATAAATCGCCTAAACTTTTTAGCAGATTTATTTGTATTCTTATCATATTGCTTTACATTTAAATTAAGTTTTTACAAAACTACTGATCTCTGTTTCTGATATTTGATCGCCAATGTGTTGTACACATTCAGACCAAGAACAGAGTCAACACTGGCTCGCAAGACGACGTATGATTGTGTTATGTTTTAATATACGTACAGTATTTGTTATGTTTTTGGGCGTTGTTCCACATAGAACATTGCATATGTGGTAAATGTTTGCGCGATAAGATAAATTAAATTCATAATCAATAATACCGAACCAATTGATTCATGTTCATGTTAAGAGAATCGCAAGCGCGCAGCTACTGGTACCCCAATGAATTAACTACACAAGCTGCTTGTAACGTTATGAAAATGGAATGTCCTTTCTTCGGAAGTAAAACCTCTCATTTGCTTATGGTAAAGATCAACTAAGTATAACATTGCTTACATGCATCATTTTGAGGTGAAGAATCTTGAAGAGCTTGCTCAATGGCGAAACATAGTTGACTAAGTTTTGGGTTTATCTCTTGCTGAATGCTGTTCGGGGGACAGCTTATGACCGTTGCCGATGTCATCGAACATAACAGCACAAACACAAGCATTCCAAAGAAGAAGTAAACAGTGGACTGTTGCATTTTTGTTTGTGTTCTGGAAAATATTAATTAAAACGGTTGAATTCCATCCGCTTTGAGAAAAACTTTTAAAATATTCGCGAACTCCTTCCGTTGGAAAGTATTTCAGAATAGTAATCGGAATTTTCCTTTGGCTGCGGTCAAATATTCTTTTAAGGAGGACGGGGGAAAGGTATACCAAAGAAACTTTTATTTTAATAAATGCTTATTAGGTGTGCTAAGTCGAACTCGTGTAAGGTTGTTTGAATTGATTGTTAGTTCCTCGGGATTGCAACTTTGAAAGTTTGGTTGAAGAATTAAGCGAGAAGGAAAAAAGAGAATTTTTTTGAAAAAGTGACTAAAAGATATTACGGATTTTCGACGTCGCCGCATATCGCGACAAAGCAACAAGCACATAGACACAAATATTTCACTGGAAAAGTTCACACTTACTGTTTCCTCGAAAATACTGATGTAGAACTTTGACAATTTTTTGCCAACTATGGTTTGAAACAATTCCTGAAGCCAGTTTTATAGAGAAACTGGCGCCCACGATTTTGCGCTGTGCAAACCACCTGTTCTTTTTGTCTGGATCCTTCCGTTGTTTTCACGGTTAAAAATTACATTACGGATACTGATTTGTAATTTTTCCTTCATGAATTTCCTGTATAATGTAATTAGATAGCCATTGTTTTGTTACGTTGGTCTAGTGCTGTTATGATTATTAATTTTAATTGTTTTATGTCATACATTTTTTGTCGCTTGTTCATGCTTTTGTTGCTAACTGTCTGTTAGATATAATTATACGTCATTAACAAACGGCAAATTTCCAGATGCATTAAACGAATCAGTTGTAATTTTTGAATTGCAGAAATTGAACAAAAGTGATATTAAACCAACAGTTTCAAACAGTTTTCAGTTGGTTTGAATGTAATTTGAATTCCATGCCTGTGGTGCCCTGGGATGTGCAGAATAGGGTACCACAGGAAACTCAGTTTCCAATGGGTCTTTTGCTGTTCCTTACATATGTTGCCAGCAATGTGCGAAATCCGGCAATATGCAAAATGCCTAGGCAAACTGACCAACTCGCCAGGCATTTTGCAGAATCGCTACTACTTTGGCCAATGTACACATTGACTACGGTATTTTAGGCAATCTGCAAAATGGCGTACGCGCTAGTCAATATGAGTGTTAGATATGTTTAATCGTCACATTGACTAGACAATGTGCATAAACCTGTTGCTCCGAAACTGTGCAGGTTAGTTTTGTAACGGAACTTTGTTGCTTAGTTTTTCAAGAAAAGTTTCCTGTTTAGTGCCCTAAGTAGCAAACAAATTTGTGAAATTTACCGCGTTTCCAGAGTTGGTTATTGATTATTAGTTCTTATTCCTGTCCTATTAGCGTCGTGCAAACAACTTTTGATTTTTCGGAAGTTTGGTATTAAGGTTTACATATTATTTAATGTAAAATGAAAACCAAGGTAATTAATAGGGAACACTTTTGCCAATGAAAACTCAAAGACTAAATATGAAACAACATACAAGATTTTCGAGAAACGATGTGCTGGAAATCTGTAAATGTCGTTAATGAAAACATACTGATATCATAAATTGTGTGCACAAAAATTTAAAATACATGCTGTTGATAAATTATAATATTGGTGTTAAATAATCTTATTACATTAAATTGTTTTGTATTTGGTAAAACAAGATAGAATTTTCTCATTAAATAAGTAATTAAAATAATATATAATAATGAATTTAATTTCACCAAAAAGTCTTTATTTCCGCTCCGAAATGTCCTTCTTGAAAGCAGGCAAAGACCTAAAAGAACGTTGATTTTTACCAATCATGAAAACTCATGATT